ATGTTTCTTGAAAAACAGACCAGAATCCCATAAACATTATTATTGGGATCACAACTTAAATAGTGTGAACAGTGAGAGTACCAAACAATGCATTCTAGACTTAAAATAAGACCCAAAACTCGAGCGCTTTCGAATAATTGAGCATTCTTCTTCAGGAGAACAAAAAAGAATAGTCAACTATTCGAAAACGCTTGAGTTTTGGGTCTTATTTTAAGTCTAGAATGCATTGTTTGGTACTCTCACTGTTCACACTATTTAAGTTGTGATCCCAATAATAATGTTTATGGGATTCTGGTCTGTTTTTCAAGAAACATTCTCCAAAAAAAAAAAGTTTTTATTTTTCTTAGCTCATTCGTTATCGTTGATCAGTAAATTTTTGTGATGCAGCATAGGATAGTAATAACATCACTATTTACAATTTGTTTTACACTAGGTAGTTATTATTAACATAACCATAACTCTATCAAATAGATTGTGAATAAATCACTAATTTTGTTTGAACATAATTATCTGACAGTGGAAATAATCCTTACCTGAAAACTTGCTTTGTCTCAGCTTATGACTTGTGACTAGTTTTTTGGGTATTTTTTTGTTATCCGGCAAGGTCTATTAATATTTACTGTATTCCTTTACTTTATGTTGTCAGTGTAAAAAAAAAAGTTGAGAATGAAATCTGGTTTACATGTACGATGCCAGATGCGTACAACAGTTGATTTATTTAACTTCTTTGCCAATATGATTTACAAATGTCATGTAATGGTAGATATAAACAAAAGTGTCGTCTTCAGAAAGTTTTACTTCTCGTAAGTTATCTGCTTTTGTTTGATGTTTACAAATGGTAAAGCCACGCAGTAGACTTGGGAGCTAATTTATTTATAGAAGATTTTCAATGCTACTATCTAAGTGAAATAGTCAGATGTTTAGATTATGAAAAAATGAGAGTACAATGAAGAATACAACACTTGTTTTCAAACAAACAAAGTGCTAAGGTTTACAAAATAGGAATATTATGGTAGTTTAATTTATTAAATGTGCCTTACTGGGAACTGCTAGTGGGTTAGCTTAGTTGAGAGAGCACTTGCCTGACATGTGACAAATCTTGCCTGGAAACTGTATAAAATTTGATTACCACAGTATAATGTAATTTAAATTACACTAATTTTGTTTAGAAAACTATTCTTTGGTGATATAAAATATGTTTTGGCTTAAAATATTGATATTATTTATTTCAACTAGGAACAGGGAACCCTCCCCCCATTCACTCTCCCCATGGTAAGGTGAAGTCTGAAGCCTCCAGTAGTTTTGTAACAGTTAACAGAGGACCGCTTAATCCTCCCCCAGGGGATATTGTTCTTCAACATCAGGATGTTGTCAGGCCAGACAAGGGGGTTGTTTCCCCACATTCAAGAGAGGGTAACGGAAGTTAAACTGATTGGAAGACATAGTAATAAATGGACACAGTATCGTGTGTAGCAGTTAGTAAAAAGCCGCAGTAAATGGAACAAATCATTGTCTTCCTAGTCTTCTCTCTATTTATTGTTTTTTTTCACTGATTTGAAGAGCTTTAAATGAAACATTTTTTTTCACACAGCATTCAAAATTAGCTGAACTTTGTAACTATCTAATATTTTCAGAATTCAAAAAAGTCAATTAGTTGTATGAGGAAACAATATCAATTTAAATTATTTTTCTAATAATATACTCAACAATTAAAACAAAAATGTGGATGAAATCTACGGTAAAATGATAGATAACAGAAGAAATATCTCGATAAATTATTGTAGCATAACTTACAAATCAATTCTTCTAGCTTAAGTAACAACCATATTGTCTTACTGTACAGTGTGTCCCAGAAGTTTGGACCCCTACGGGAAAATACACAATTTATTCTTAATTTATTTATTATTTAAATTGAATGCCATTAACAGCCATTGGGGTATTTTCTTTCCTGAAATATGTACAACTGACGTTAGAAATGTGTTTGTTTAACTTTACGAATGTGATGTCTATTTTCCTATTGGGTTCAAACTTCTGCTACAGCCTTTTTTTTTTTTTAATTTTACAGCAGATTAATACAGTGTTTAGAACAATCAAACGGGTATGGGAGATCGGTCAGAAAGTGTTGTACAGAAAGAACACTATTAAGGATATGAAGAACGATTTTAAGTTAGAAAAGAAGGCGTGCATAATGTACCTTTTGAAGTATTATTTTAAAATTTCTCTTTGGCAAGTTGTGCTTGTGAAATTGACTTCTTCAAAGAACTGTAGCTTTTATTTACACTTCGGAGTCTGTTTACTGGTAAATAAATAGGTTTTCTTTATATTTATTCTCACCAGCTCTTGCTTCCCATCATAATTCGTTGAATATATCACCTCCAACCCACAATCTTGGGTCATCTACAGCTTATTATATAGGCCCCAAGTATCAGGAGAATGGTGACGCTCTGTCAGACTTTGTAAACTTAGTGTGTCAGGAAACCGAAGGCAATAGTGGACCATCTCCACAGGTAAGGATGTGGAAACTAGCTTCAGTTACTAACCCTGGAATCAGGATTAGGCTGGACTTTAAATTTCTACTGGAAAAAAAAACAAACTAGAGGGCATCCATAAATTTTTGTTAAAAATAACAAACATTCATGCTTAAGAAGTATATGTAATTTAGTGTTAAAACACTAGTCGTACATAGCTCACATGATCAGTAATTTTGAGAACAGAGGAGCCCTTCACGAGATAGGAGATAACGTCCTCAACAGAAATATTGTCAAGTAAACCTTTTTGATGCACATAATTATTGGTAGAATTAACAGGCATGTTAATTTATATGTTAATGTAATGGCAATAGACAAATAATTATTCCTACATTGTACTGACAGAGCATTAATCTATTTTTTTTACATACTTTTCTTAGAGTGTCTTTTTCCGGTGTCCTGGTGGACCAATCCACACTTGCCTGGCACAGTATGACTCTAAATGTGTAGCTAAAAAAAACTTGTTGGAGTTATTTATGCATAGAATCTTCAACTTGATAAAGTTTTAGAAGGGTTACGTATATTTTAATATTTAGGAAACTTGAGCTGATAACGCTACCGTACAATAGGATGCTTTATTATTCAGAGGATTAAAACAACTGCCTGGTATGAAAGGGAACAAAAATAGATTAGGACTCTGGCATCCTTTTATTTACATGTAGAATTAATGTAAATAACATGTAGTTAAGAACTCGTGGTTTCAGTCCACAGCTGACTCCGGGAACAGAAGTCCATCCAAGCTCCACTTTTACTCCAGTGCTATGTTACCTCCTCCACCACCAGCTCCGATGGCCAGACCTGTTGCCATCATTAGATGTACAGGTAAGTACACATTTTTTGTTTAATATTTTATGCAGATTTAACAGGTATTCAGATCTGCTTCTATTATTGACACTAAAGGATCATCATGAGACGCACGAGTAGAATGTTAAGGATGTATCGCAGTAACACGTTGAACCAACATGCTTGTAAGAGACGATTAACTATGATAGAACCATAACTTAAGACATTCACCCTTCATTAATTTATTATATATAGACAAACACACACACACACACACGTAGTAAAGGAAAACATGTCAAGAGTATGATAGAAAAATACCGTGAAGTTCGGCTGACTGAAGTGATCATTTATAAGCGTGTGGTTTGTTTAAAAGAAGAGATGTTATATGTTAGAAAGTGTAGAGTTTTATCTAAACTAGTTTTCTGATACGAAAGTTGTTCTTTGTTTCAGACTTGAGTCCAACATCTCCGAGTCCACCTGCCACCTCCGGGAGTTGCGTGACATCGGATCCTGATACTCCAGGGCCCAGCAGTACGGGAGATAGAGACATCAGGGAACAGATATCCCCACCCTCCACAACATCTGTGGGTAAGTTTAGCTGTGGTTTAAGCTGTAAAAGTTGTTATATTTAGCTTAATGAATATATATTATGTTATTGGGAAGCATTTGTAAATAACCACAAGAATATGGAATAGCAACTGTACCTACATTTGTATTAATTTATGTGCTTGTATAGATTAATTGATAATCATATTTATCTGGATTGATAAATACGTTCAGGTTATTAATATATATATATATAATTAACTTACATCACAGTTAAAAACCAGTGATGTGGGCGATTTGAGTGTTCCTATGCCCATGGGAATCGTAGACATTATAACTTCGGAACTGAACAATGTAATGTTGATTGTTTTCTTTTTCTGTTGTGATGTTGACTGAAATATTTTAGTGCACCTTAATTGATTTGTTTCATTCATTTTTTTAAATTTAAAATGTTGATTAAGTTTTACAATTGATAACAGTGGGCCTGTCATCCAGTTCCCAAGAATCTACCCTTGTAAGCAGGTCTGTAATGAGCAGCCCGTTTACAACGTTAGCTAGGCCAGAACACAGTTTTGCTCACATTCATCCTCAGCCTCAGGTATGTAAAGACCATTCGTAAACAAGAACACGGCTTTTACTCTACTAACAAAATTGCTCCTAACCCCCAGCGTCAGGTATTTATAGTCCATTCATAAGTTTGAAACACAGTTTTGTTGACATTAAACCTCAGCTTCGAGTGCATAAAGTCCACTAAAATGTATGGAAGGTAGTTTTAATCATAAACACCTTCAGTGCCATGTTTATATAGTTGAGATACAGGTATGGATCACAGGTTTGCTCACATGCTTTTAGAGCTTCATATATATGTGTATATTTGTGTTCACAAGATTTTGAACTAATTTAACAGAAATTTGAATATTAAAATATTTTGATCATAACATTTTTGTGAACCAGATTTACTAGTCAGTAATTCAGACGCAAGACGAGTTTAAAGAATGATTCATCTTTAATATGTTTTACTGTATACTGATGTATTTGTCACAAAAAAGTTGATAAGTTTATCAGAAGTCTACAGTAAGTTTACCAGACATTAGTCATAAAGTGAAGCAAGTTAACTGACTACCAATTACAAACTGAAACATATTAATCAAACATAAACCACAGACATTAGGTTCCACAGCAATAAGAATATGTTCGTATTAAATGTTTTCTCATTGATTTCACAATTTTCCAGCTGTTTTCCTACTCAAGTGTCAGCCCAGTTAGTGGGGTCATCAGTCCAACGAACTTCATCATGTTTACGTCCCCGATGACCACTCCTCGCAATACCCCACGGACCACTCCGATACCTCGTTGGAATAACCCCTTTATAGCTCTTGATGATAACATGGACTACAGCATGATTACGGGTCTCATGCATGGCACCAACCCAGAAACTGACCCTCCACACATTATTGGGGCTGAAGGTTAGTTAACTGAAGAATAATTGTACTAAATTCTTTTTCTCGGTGATGAAGGTGTGTTAGTGCTTTTTTCAAATTATACTTCTGTTACTGAGGAAATATTATATGTAAATGCAATTTATTGAAGTGTCTGTATCTCTACAGAAGAGAAGGTAGATTCCATGAAGTAATCAACTTTTTACATTTTAAATGAAACTGTAACTAAGACAGTTTCGAAGGTGTGAGTTTTTCTAAGTTTCTCTCATTATCTGGTAATCTACTAATGTGAATCCTATATATTGAAGGCTGTTTTCATATGGTGTGACTAGAATTAAAGTTTTTTTTTTTTTAGTTTGGTACATTTTCTCAAGTTGTCTGTGAAGATTTAAATTCAGAGCTTCTAATCTGATATAGCTAAGACTGATTTTTAAAGTGTTTGACTTCTATAGGTCTATAGCTTTGTGTTGTAAGACATTAATTTTGATACACTATAATATGAGGGCAGTTCACACACATATTGTTACTATTCGTACTAGTGTACAACTTTATTGCTTGTAAACAGAAATTATTTTGTTCTGTGCTCTAGAGAGGTTTTTCCCAGAAGTCCACAACAGTGAGGGGGTGGATGCAAGTAGTCAGACAGCTAATGCCCCCACAACTCCCACAAAGTCTCAGCCATCATAGAAATCTGTATTGGTTGCTCAAGGAAAGTTCTGGATACCGACATAAGGAAAGGTTGCTGCCTCGTTGGTGCTTCCGGATCAGAGCAAAAACAGCGCCATCTCTTTAACGACAGCAATACTAGGCTAATCTCTCAGAATGCCAAAGATACTGCTACCAGCAATACAAACAAATGTATGTGGTTGTGATGCATAGGAATATGTGAAATGATTTATAAGTGTGCTTAGGGCTTTGAATCTTGTGGAAAAAAGTTGAAATTGTAGAAAACATGAACTTTATCACCTACCTCTTAGGAGCAAGAACCCACCAGTTACAGCTTTTAATTGATATTTATGTGCTCTTCAATATCTTTCTGTTCTAATGTACTTCACTTGCGTGGCTTGGCTACTGCAGTAGGTGTGTACATTTGGTTTTTTTTTAGATCTCTCTAGTATATACAGATCATATGAATAACTAGAAAAATGCAAAGGTGATAAAGTAAATAACTTAGACTTTTGGAGATAAATCACCTTAATAAACTATGGTTGTGTTTTATTTCCTTGGTAATGTTTCAAGCAAAAAAAATGTCTTTTTTAAAGCCAGAAACAAGCCTAGTCTAATGAAAGAAGAAAAACAAAAGCAGCTTTCCCATTGTGAGTTGAAGTGTTTATCTTCTCATTCAGGCTTATTTTTGTAATTTAGAGTTGTTTTTGATTACAGATTGTGTATAAGTAACTTCTCTTCAAAAATATAAATAATAAACACCAATAAGTTCAAGCATTTAAGAAGAAAAGGCAAACAGTAACGAGTATTGGTAATTAGTACTCGGTTTCTTTTCTTCAGAAGCCTATTTACTGCATGATTTTCTGAAGAAGCAATAACAATAAGAGCTCAATAGCTACAGAATAGTGTAAGAGTCCAAATTTAGGATGTTAAGCTTTAGTCTACTGATGTGTTTGCCTCAACTTTTCTGGGATATGGAAGAGTAAGGGTCATGTCTTCGGCAATGAAGGTGTGACAACCAATTGTTGGATGTGATGCAAAATCTAACGGATTCTTTTAACACGAGGAAGTTGTTTAGAAACATAGTTGTTGTTTTTTGTGTGTGTTACATGTTTGATGAAGACTCAAAGTTGTAGTGCTAGTCATGATATCGACATGGAGTACAGTGTTAAAAAGTTACCCTGCCAGACATATTGAAGGGCCTTTGAAAAAGAAAGAATGCAGAGGGCTCTGGCTCTCTGTTTTTGTGATGATATTTCTTTATATTCTCACTGTTGTAATATACGTATATATAGAGAGAAAGTTAATTATTAATCTAGGTTTTTTGCATTTTGACAGAGATTCATACTACTACATTTTATAGCTTTATAACTATCATTCATTAGTTGATACTAGAACTCATCTAATTCACAGACTATTAAGCTATGCAAGTTGAAATTTGTAGAAAAATCGTTTCTTGTAAGATTTGTGTAGAAATTATCGTCCTTTTTGTTTCTTCAAGTTGGTTCTGTGGGCAAGTTTTGTAGGAAATCGGCAGTCTTCCCCAAATAGAGTAGAACCAGAAGATACATTTTCTAGTTGCTTGGTATTTAAAATGTTATCTGTGTATATAACATGCTTTGTACAGCCTAACAAAGAAATGGTTTTAATATATACAGAATGAAGGTTTGAATGTAATCTTGAACATCCTTTAAGCAGTTTTGTTTTAGTTAGATTCTTTGCTAAGGTGGATAACTTCAGGATGTGGTTATAAGATAACCTGTACTGAATGTGAATTGGTAATCAGTTGAAAAGAAGTTAATTAATTTTAACCAAGTAAAACTTATGAATAACATTTAAAGATCTCTAATCAATCTAGTAGTAAGATCCAAACATTTATTTGACTGATCAATGGATCAATTTTGACCTAGTAGTTAGCATATTGCCTGTCCCTGGTTTGGAAGGTTCAAGCTAGCTATTTAACTGAGCCTAAGGTACCATTCAAGGCAGAAATACTAATATCAAACCCTTACCTTTTTTTGAATGCTAGCTACAAGGCTGTGTATGTCTTCACAAAAAAAACAAACTAATTTTTGTTGAAGCATATCTTCTGAAAGAGTTGAGTGTTTTATTCTTCATTTTTAGATAGTTTTTTTTAGCATATTTATACTCATAGTGATTATACTTATCCAGCTCATATTTTAACTTTTTTATTTATGAATATAAGCAAACAAAACAGGACAATAGTGTTCTATAAAAATATAAGGTACAGTGGTGCAAACATTACAGGTAGTGTATGTTTTATTTAGAGTTACAGTATGTAACAGTTACATGCACGTACAGGTTTTAGAGTTACAGTTAATATTTTACATGAACGTATAGTATGTAACAGTTACGTACATTTTTCTTCTAGGAGTTTCCCTACTGTACTTGTTTGGATTAATGAAGAAACTAGCCACATTTGTCCTTTTGTTTTAACTTTTGAATCTGTTTCAAGTACAAATGAATTTGCTAAGGCAATAAACATGCAATGTTTTATTGGGTATATTAAAGTCTTTCTTTTAAGCAAAAGAATTAGAAAGTAAAATGCTGGGAGGTACCATATTTTGTTGGACGTTTTTCAAGAAAGAAAAAGACAGATTCAAAATGTGTTATAGGGGAATTTTGAAGACAGTAGCAACAAATCTCAAGTTGGAATGATTTTTTTTTTATACAACTAACAAGTTTCATTTTAAGAATTGTAAGAATAATATTATGTACATAGTTGGAAACTTATACTGACCCCATTGTATATTAAGATTAGTTCAGCTTCACCTAAAGAAACATCTCTCTATTTCTGTAACCGTTATGTTACCACAACTTTTGAAATTAACTGGAGCTACCGTTGTTAGAAATTACATTAACCCTGCCTACTGATAAATAAATTGTTCTCAACAAAAGGCAGCTTATCCTCGAGTAGCTCTAAAAATAAAAGGATTTGATAACTCGACGTTTTCGTCTATCTAGAAAGGCGTGTTTAAAAGAAAAATAATGTTGGTTTCGTTAGAATTTTAAACTTTGCAAGTAAGGTCAAATTAGCACTGAAATCTACAGGTTTACTTCTATATTATAATTATTAAAGATAGTTAATAAGAGATAAAAAGAACTGACACAAGTTTGTTTGATATTACATTGCAGTAAGATTGACATGATAAAGAAAGATGCGATAAAAATTATCACCAGTCTTATTGTGACATAATATTAAACTAACAGTGAACAGATCATGCTTCGCCAGCCAAGATATTAATGTCATAACAGTAACAAACACTTTTTTTTTATTACTTTTGATCATTTTTATTATGGAGATCTGAACTGAAGAAGTTAAAATATTCATATAAAATAGGCTAACCACCTACTATCTAATAGTGAAACAGACCATATTTTATTGAAAGTTAATCATTTTCTGTCTGAAGTTTCTTTTCTTAATAAAACTGTTGTTTTTTCTTTTAATATGAATGTTTTTTGTTTTTTTTAGATTTTGTATACCAAAGTATTTTAACTTGCAAAGCAAGTAATGGCTTATGAAGTTTTTCGCGTTGCGTACTGTTAGATTTTATATACTAAAGTGCAGAAGGAAGTCAGTGAATGGAAACACTGTCACAGCTCTATCACCTAGTTATTATATAAAAAATGTGGTAGCTGGTCTGCACTTTTTTCTTTCTGATCTTAACATAGAACATGATGGAAAATGTGAAACTTCTTCCATTGTATATATTTTACAAGCCTCTAAAGAAAGAAAGAAGTGCAGACTGCTGTAACACACACTCTTCCCATGATATTTATAGAGAAATTGGAAGCATTTCCACAATATATTCTACAGATAATGATGAAGAAAGTACAGTAATATTCTACAAGCCTCTAAAGAAAGAAAGAAAGAAATGCAGACTGCTGTAACACACACTCTTCCCATGATATTTATAGAGAAATTGGAAGCATTTCCACAATATATTCTACAGATAATGATGAAGAAAGTACAGTAATATTCTGCAAGGTCTTGATGTGAACTGCGTACTCTTCAGTAGTGTTTTACATAATGATGAAGAAATGAAAAGCTCTTCCGCCTAATTTTGATGAAGGAATTGGAGACTCTTCCACAATCTACAAGTTCCTTGTAAAGTAGTTCCTTTCTGCCTGGAAGTGAAAACTTGTTAAAATGGTTACACCATGATATCATCTCCCTGGCTAAATGAACTTATCTTTTCTCTACCATTAAATCTTGGTTTGTGTTTCAAGATATCCTTGAGGACAAGAGAGTGTTTCTTCATGAGTTTCTGGAATATATGTGTTACTAGGATTTTTATTGCTTTACTCCATTGAACCATAGTTACTGCAAAATGTGTATATAAAGTACAGTTAAAACAGTTTTATAGTAATGGGTTTTAAGCTAGTCAACCTGTACCGTGTTCAGATTCTAAGTTTCTTTTTCTGTTATCCTGTTGATTTTTGTTACAAATATTTTAAAATTACGTGTTATTTTTTAGATGAAATATTTTGTATTTTTTTTTTCTCCTATGATTTGGTTTTCCAGCAGTTAACTATGGATTGTTTCAACATAATTGCAAAATATAATTAAAACATGCACCAACCTAGAATATAACAGAAATAAATTGATGGCTAGTGACCCAACCTATCGTTTTGCTTAGTGTCAGTAATGAAATAAGGTTTAGTCTGTAGTATAGGTTTGAAACCTTTAAATATTAGTTTCATTTACAGTCGGTAGGATTCATCAAATATTAATAGATGTTTAAGAGTTAATTTCATTAATCTATAAGTAATTTTAATATGATTAAAATTCATTAGATGGTGTTTTGTATGTAACCTCATAAATTAATAACCAGATATTTTTTCCTAGATCCTAATAATATTCAAGGTACTTCTCATTTCAACCGCTTTTCATTTTGACGAGTAATCAAGCAACTAATTCCATTCATCAAAACATTAATTTCTTTGGTTTTTTTTGTGATATTTGGCATCAGGCATTATCTTATTTGTATAAATGAAATAAAGCCATTTAAAAGACATCTCACGTTGTTAGCTTAATTCATTTAGTTTTGTAAACTATTTTGTTACAAAAAAAATGTAAGAGCACAAAAACATTTTATATACATATTTCATACTTATATATATAAATGTATTTTTGTCGAGACTAGGACTAAAGTAACCAAATTTTAAATTCGATGTTTAAAGTCTTAAAATAGGAAATTACGTATTATTGCACAAGAAAGAATTTAAAATTATTTTGAAGCAATAACCTATTATATGTTTATCGTTATAGATTGACCATATTATTTTGCAGTTGAAAAAAACATCAAAAACGAACAAAGTGACCGTGTACTCAAATTTTTTTGAACTGTCTTTATGTTCAAATTTTCTTTGGAGTTCTACAAATGTTTGCTTGCTTTTGTATTAGTAGTAGTATTTCTTAAAGATGTACGTTAGGTTTCTTTGACCTTTTATTCGTAAAAATAACGGTGTTTTAATTTTTTGTAATTTATTATTGAAAATAACTCAGAGATTCGATGTAGGTAATGGTACTCTCCTGCAAAATCCTCCCTGTCCAAATTTTGGCTCTGTGGTCATCTTCTAATGAAACGTACAACACTTCATTCATTTCATTTGGATAGCTTGACCAAGTCGATAAATTAATTAACTTGTGTTTTACTTTAAAACTGAGATGAATATGGACAGAATTTGGGAAACAGTGGTGCTAGTTGGATAGGATTTGGCGGGACAACGGTGTTCCTTTAGCAACCACTGATCTCATTGTAAGAACGTTTAAATTAGTGTTAGCAAGTCTACCATTAAAATTCTCAGGTTAACCACTTCAGGAACATGACGTGATTTTTTTTTTGTTCTCCATTTATCAGAAATAAAGATCCGTGTCACAATTTATCAGTTTAACATAATAATGAGACAAAACATTAATAATATTTTCGATAGATACGTATAAAACACTACAACTATTTGAGATATTATATATGAACAAATACAAGCTTATAAAATAACCCATAAAAAAAAATACCACATTGCTGTTGTTGTAAGCTATATTTTAATTTGTTTGTTTGCTAGAGGGAGCTTGTCATGATGACGCAACATCTAGAAACTTTCTGTAATAAGTAGGTAATGAGAGTCCAATGTAATTACTACAACCGGGGAATTTTTGAGTCTTCAGTGTCATTTAGTGAGTTAGGCGGTGAGTCAACCAGCATAATTAATAATGATTGATTAGCGAGGAAATTTTTCAAATAAGTTTATTGGAGAGTTAAGCGTACATTAGTTTTGAAATTTTTGTTCAAACATAATTTATGAAGTTACACCTACAACAAACAATGTTTGAGAAATAAATGAATTCGTTATCGCTATGTGTACTAGACTTCGCATTATTTTTACCAAAAGAACCCTTCGACAACAGAACACGTTACAATACTATAGAGGTCCGGCATGGCCAGGTGGTTAGGGCACTCGACTCGCAATCTAAGGATCGCGGGTTCGAATCCCAGTCCCACCAAACATGCTCGCCCTTTCAGGCCAGGAGGGCGTTATAAAGTGACGGTCAATCCCACTATTCGTTGGTAAAACAGTAGCCCAAGAGTTGGCGGTGGGTGGTGATGACAAGCTGCCTTCCCTCTAGTCTTACACTGCTAAATTAGGGACGGCTAGCGCAGATAGCCCTCGTGTAGCTTTGCGCGAAATTCAAAAAACAAACAAACAACCAATACTACAGAGATTAAGTGTTAATAAAAAAAAATACTAATTTGGATGTAGCCTCTCTTTCGAATTCTAGGTGTTATTATTGTCTCTAGTGTTACTGGTTTATTGTGAACATGCCACATGATGGAATTAATGACAGAAGTATTCAATTTGTTATGTGACAAAATTAACAGTAGAGGTATGCTAATCAGTTCTTTGTGTGACAAAGTTATCGGTGGAAATAGGCTAATTCTGTTCCCTATATTATAG